TTTCTTTCTTTCTTTCTTTCTTTCTTTCTTTCTTTCTTTCTTTCTTTTCTTTCCTTCCTTCCTTCTCTTTCTTTTCTCCCTCTCTCCCTGTTTCTTCCTCTCTTTCTTCCTTTCTTTCTCTTTCTCTCTCCTTCCTTCCTTCCTTCCTTCCTTCCTTCCTTCCTTCCTTCCTTCCTTCCTTCCTTCCTTCTCTTTCTCTCAAGACAGGGTCTTGCTCTGTCACCCAGGCTGGAGTGCAGTGGCGTGATCTCTGCTCACTGCAACCTCCGTCTCCCAGGTTCAAGCAATTCTCGTGCCTCAGCCTCCCAAGTAGCTGGGACTACAGGTACATGCCACCACTCTTGGCTAATTTCTGTATTTTTAGTAGAGACAAGTTTCACCATGTTGGCCAGGCTGGTCCCAAATGCCTGGACTCAAGTGATTTGTCCACCTTGGACTTCCAAAGTGCGGGGATTACAGGCGTGAGCCACCGCACCCAGCTGCTTCTTGCTTTATGTTTATGTCCTCCTTGTTCGCTCTCAGTATTTCCTTTGTTCTCTCAATATTTCCCTTCACTTTGGCCCCAACTCTACCTTTTCCCTCCTCTTTTTCTACTTTGCTTCTCACTTTCTCTGACTTAAGGATTCTCTGTGATCCTTATATCAGGCTAGGTGATTCTTTCCTTCCGAGTGCACCAACTTACTCCCCTTTCTCATTCTGGATTTTTCCAAAGCACTGCTGACATGATTTCCCCCACCATTAAGACCTGTCTTCTCTCCAGGCTCCCCTATGAACCCACCCTGGGTACTCACCAGACAAAAACTCAGTCCTACTGACAATCCAACACCAGCCACGACTGCAGCCAGGGAAATGAGGATGATAGCCCAGGGCTGTAAATATCCACTTGGTTTGATCACGTTTGTGGGCATGTGGCTCATGCTAACTGTGTTCGTGCCCGTGGACACTGGGCCTGTTTCCTGGGAGGTGCTGCCAGTTGGCTCACGGGTGGATCCTGTGGTGGTCCTGACGCCAGGGGCTAAGGTGGTAGATGATGCTCCCCTAGTAGATGTATCCAGGCCAGAGGTGTTTGGGACTATTCCTGGCACAATATGGCTGGCAGCAGAGGCCGTGGAGTCCATTCCAGAGGTCATGGTGACAGAGCTGGAGCCGGTGGGTCTGGTTCCAGTGGTCTTGGTGCCTATGAAACAGGTCACACAAGATGATGCATTTGTAGCAGAGATGATTACAGAGGAATGGGGGTGCTTAGAGCAGAGGAGTGTGAATCTAACAAACCTATGGTGGAGGTGGCTCAGGAGAGGGGTGATGGGGGAGGAGAGATGGTAGAAAGCGATTCTGCTGTGGCCATGTCCCCAGAATGGAGGTGGGTGTCATACAGAGAAGGAAGTAGAATGTGTCACCTGGTGGGGTTGGTGACGGAGGAGGCAGAAGGTTGAGGAAATGTGATTGTGATGGGTTCAGAAGTGGAAGATCTATTTGACTTCGGAAGCTGCCACCCAAATAGAAGACAGCAGGCTGTTTAAAAGGAATGAATTAACAGCATTTGCAGTGTCCTGGATGAGACTGGAGACTATTATTCTAAGTGAAGTAACTCAGGAATGGAAAACCGAACATCGTATGTTCTCACTGATATGTGGGAGCTAAGCTTCGAAAATAGGAAGACATAAGAATGATGCAATGGACTTTGGGGACTTTGGAGGAAGAGTGGGAGGGCCGAGGGATAAAATATTTCAAATATGGTGCAGTGTCTACTGCTCGGGTGATGGGTGCACCACAATCTCACAAATCACCACTAAAGAACTTACTCATGTAACCAAATACCACCTGTATCCCAATAACTTATGGAAAAAAATTAAAAATAAATAAATAAAATAAAATAAAATAAGTGGACAGGCTGGTATACAAAGCGGCAGGCCCTGCTTCTCTTGTGACTGTGATCACTGGGCGTAAGGAGAGAGCTGGAGGAGGAGATGACAGAATTGGATTCACTCACGGGCATGCCAGTGGCCGTGGCTGGACAGAGGTAACATCATCTACCACACTGTGGTGGCCAGCAAAGGTGGGGTGAGTGTTCCTGGGCAGATGTGGGAGGACCTGACCCAAGTGGAGGAGCTGCTCACAGGGACTGGGGGGGGGAGCTCAGACAGGTGCGAGCGAGAATCAACACAGCAGAGGCGGTGGTGGCAGCTTAGGTAGTGATGGGTGTGCCTAGGTCAGAAGTGGTTAAAATAGGGTCACAAACAGCACCAGTGACCAGAATAGAGGTGAGTGTGCTTAGAACCAAGAGAATAGAATCAGATGCAACCAGCTTGCTAATGGCAAGTGCCAGAGAACGAACAAAGTTGTTTTGTCTCAGACTGGAGCAAAGGATGTCAAATACTTTCTGTAAAGGTTCAGACAGCAAATACTTTAGGCTTTTGGGCCAGGCAGTCTCTGTTGCAAATACACTGAAAAGCGGAAAAGCAGCTGGAGACAAACCGTAAATGAATGGGCATGACTATGTTCCAATAAAACTTTACAAAACCAGGTAACAGGTGAGACGTGACCCATGAAACGTGGTCTGCCAGCCTCTGGACTAGGGTCAATATATCGATAGGAGGTGGCGGTGTTGCAGATGATAGGTTGAATAGAGATAATCTACTTGGCACCGAAGTGGGAGCATTTCACAAAACTGTGATGGGCCAGAAGAGTTGAGGCAGGCTTGCTGGAGGAAGATGTGACAGATATAATGCACTTGTGGTTTATTATATTTTGTGGTTCTGATTGCAGTGGAAGTGGTGGGCAGTTAAAAAAAAAAAAAAGGGTGAGACCAGAGTAGAGGCAATTAGGATTCTAGAAGAGGAAATTTTTTTTTCTTTTTTTTTTTTTTGAGATGGAGTCTCACTCTTGTCGCCCAGGCTGGAGTGCAGTGGTGTGATCCCTGCTCATTGCAAGATCCGCCTCCCGGATTCACACCATTCTCCTGCCTCAGCCTCCTGAGTAGCTGGGACTACAGGCGCCCACCACCATACCCGGCTAATTTTTGTATTTTTAGTAGAGACACGGTTTCACCACGTTAGTCGGGATGGTCTCAATCTCCTGACCTCGTGATTTGCTCGCCTCAGCCCAATGTGCTCGGATTATAGGCATGAGCCCCTGTGCCCAGCCTAGAAGAAGAAATTATATCTAACTCTGTGGTGGCTTGATTTGAACCAGGGCAGAGGTGATAGAAACAGGTGAACAGCTGGTGGTTGCCACTGGAGTTAAAATGTGTGGGCTCAAAGAAGACCTGGGGGTTAGTACCTGACACAGCTGTGTTGGTGATGGGCTGAATAGAAATGTCAGTGGCCTTGGTGGATACAAAAGTGGTGGCAGAGACAGTGGTGGAGGCTGCAGTGGCCCCAGAAGCTGTGATAGAGACTGTGGTGGTCTCAGAGCCTGTGAGGGAAGTTGCAGTGGGCTCAAAGCTTGCAGTGGAAACTATGGTGGTCTCAGAGCCTATGATGAAGGCAGTGTTGGTCTCAGAGCCTGCACTGGAGGATGTGGAGGTCTCAGAACCTGTGGTACAGGCTGTGCTGATCTCAGAGCCTGCTTTGGAGGCCATGGTGGTCTCAGAGCCTTCAGTAGGGGTGATGGTGGCATCAGAGCCTGCAGTAGAGGATGTGGTGGTCTCAGAGCCTATGGTAGAGACCATGGTGGTCTCAGAGACTGTGGTAGATATTGTAGTCATCACAGAGCCTGTGGTAGAGGTCGTGGTGGTCTCAGAGCCTGTGGTAGAAACTGTAGTGGTCTCAGAGCCTTCAGTAGAGGTGGTGGTAGTCTCAGAGCCTGTGGTATAGACTGTTGTGGACTCAGAGCCTGCAGTAGTGACTGTAGTGGTCTCAGAACCCTCAGTAGGGGTGATGGTAGTCTCAGAGCCTGTGGTAGAGACCATGGTGGTCTCCGAGCCTGTGGTGGAGACTGTAGTGGTCTCAAAGCCTTCAGTAGAGGCTGTGGTGGTCTCAGAGCCTTCAGTAGAGGTGGCAGTTGTCTCAGAGCCTGCAGTAGAGACTGTGGTGGTCTCAGAACCTGTGTTATAGATTGTTGGGGTCTCAGAGCCTGTGGTAGAGACTGTAGTGGTCTCAGAGCCTTCAGTAGAGGCTGTGGTGGTCTCAGAGCCTGTGGTAGAGACTGTAGTGGCATCAGAGCCTTCAGTAGAGGTGATGGTGGTCTCAGAGCCTGCTGTAGAGGCTGGGATGGTCTCAAAGCCTGGAGTGGAGACTGTGGTGGTCTCAGAGCCTGTGGTAGAGGCTATGGTGGTCTCAGAGTTTTCGGTGAAGACTGTGGTCATTTTAGAGCTTGCAGTGGAGACCGTGGTGGTCTCAGAGCCTATGGTAGAGGCCATAATAGTCTCAGAGCCCATGGTGGATGCCATAGTGGTCTCAGAGCTTGTAGTAGAGGATGTGGTGGTCTCAGAGCCTGTAGTAGAGGTTGAGGTGGTCTTGGAGCCTTCAGTAGAGGCTGTGGTGGTCTCGGAGCCTGTGATGGAGACTGTAGTTATCTCAGAGCCTTCAGTAGAAGTGGTAGTGTTCTCTGAGCCAGTGATAGAAACTTTAGTGGTCTCAGAGCCTGTGGTGGAGAGTGTAGTGGTCTCAGAGCCTTCAGTAGAGACTGTGGTGGTCTCAGAGCCTGTGGCAGTTACTGTAGTAGTCTCAGAGCCTTCAGTAGAGGTGATGGTAGTCTCAGAGCCTGTGGTAGAGACCATGGTGGTCTCAAAGCCTGTGGTGGAGACTGTAGTGGTCTCAGAGCCTTCAGTAGAGGCTGTGGTGGTTTCAGAGCTTGCAGTAGAGGCCATGGTGCTCTCAAAATCTGCAGTCGATGCCATGGTGTTCTTAGAATCTGCAGTAGAGACTGTGGTGGTCTCAAAGCCTGCAGTGGAGGCTGCAGTGGTCCCAGAACCTTCAGTAGAGGCTGTGGTGGTCTCAGCGCCTGTGGTGGAGACTATAGTCATCTCAGAGCCTTCAATGGTAGTGATGGTGGTCTCCAAGCCTGTGGTTGAAACTGTAGTGGTCTCAGAGCCTGTGGTAGAGACTGTGGTGGTCTCAGAACCTGTGGCAGAGACTGTAGTGGTCTCAGAGCCTTCAGTAGAGGCTGTGGTGGTCTCAGAGCCTGTGGTAGAATCTGTGGTGGTCTCAGAGCCTTCAGTAGAGGCTGTGGTGGTCTCAGAACCTGTGGTAGAATCTGTGGTGGTCTCAGAGCCCATGGTGGAGGCTGTGGTGGTCTCAGGGCTGGTATTAAAGTCTGTGGTGGTCCCAGAGCCTGTGGTAGAGCCTGTGGTGGTCTGAGAGCCTTCAGCAGAGACTGTGATCATCTCAGAGCTTGCAGTGGAAACCTTGGTGGTCTCAGGGCCTATGGTAGAGGCCATAGTGGTCTCAGAGCCCATGGTTGATGTCATAGTGGTCTCAGAGCCTGTAGTAGAGGCTGTGCTTGTCTCAAACCCTGTAGTAGAGGCTGAGGTACTCGCAGAATCTTCAGTAGATGCTATGTTGGTTTCAGAATCTTTAGTAGAGGCTGCAGTGGTCTCAGAGCCTGCAGTAGAGGCTGCAGTGGTCTCAGAGCCTGCAATGGAGACTGTGGTCTCAGAGCCTACAGCTGAGACTGTGGTTGTCTCAGAGCCCATGGTGGAGGCTGCAGTGGTCTCAGAATGTGCAGTAGAGGCTGTTGTGGTCTCAGAGCCTATGGTAGAGACTACAGTGGTCTCAAAGTTTATGGTGGATGCCATGGTTGTCTCAGAGCCCACGGTAGAGGCTGTGATGGTCTCTGAGCCTGCAGTGAAGACTGTGGTCATCTCAGAGCTTGCACTGGAGATCTTGGTGGTCTCAGAGCCTGTGGTAGAGGCTGCAGTGGTCTCAGAGCTCATGATGGATGCCATAGTGGTCTCAGAGCCTGTAGTAGAGGCTGCAGTGGTCTCAGAATCTGCAGTAGAGGCTGTGGTGGTCTCAGAGCCTGTGGTAGAAGCCATGGTGGTTCCAGAGCCTGAAGTTGAGACTGTGGTGGTCTCAGAGCCTGAAGTAGAGGTTATGGTGGTCTCAGAGCCCACAGTGGAGACTGTGGTGGTCTCAGAGCCTGCAGCAGAAGTTGTGGTGGTCTCAGAGCCCACAGTGGAGACTGTGGTGGTCTCAGAGCCTGCAGCAGAAGTTGTGGTGGTTCCCAGAGCCTGCAGCAGAAAGTGTGGTCTCAGAGCTCCACGGTGGAGAGACTGGGTGGTCTCAGAGCCTGTAGTAGAAGTTGTGGTGGTCTCAGAGCCCATGGTGGAGACTGTGATGGTCTCAGAGCCTGCAGCAGAAGTTGTGGTGGTCTCAGAGCCCACGGTGGAGACTGTGGTGGTCTCAGAGCTTGCAGTAGAGTTTGTGGTGATCTCTGAGCCCATGGTGGTCTCAGTGCCTGTGGTAGAGACTGTAGTGGTCTCAGAGCCTGCAGTGAAGATGGTGGTTGTCTCAGAGCCTGCACTAGAGACTGTGGTAGTCTCAGATCCTGCCGTGGAGGTGGTGGTGATCTCAGAACCTGAAATAGAGACTATGGTGGTCTGAGAGCCTGTGGGGGTGGAGGTGGTGGTCTCAGAACCTGCTGTAGAAGCTGTAGTGGTCTCAGAGGCTTTAATAGGGACTGTAGTGGTCTCAGAGCCTGTGGTGGTGTTAGAGCCTGCAGTGGGGGCCATAGTGGTCTCAGAGCTCATGCTGGATGCCGTGATCACCTTGGAGTCTGCAGTTGAGGTTGTGGTGGCCTCAGAGCCTGCTGTGGAGGTGGAGGAGGTGGTCTCAGAACCTGCAGTAGATGCTGTGGTGGTTTCAGAGTCTGTGGTAGAGACTTTAGTGGCCCCAGAGCCTGCAGTGGAGGTGGTGGTGGTCTCAGAGCCTGTGATAGAGATTGCGGCGGTCTCAGAACTTGTGGTGGAGGCCATGGTGGTTTCAGAAGTTATGGTGGAGGCCATCGTTGTCTCAGAGCCTGCAGTGGAGGTTGTGCTGGAGGCCATGGTAGTCTCAGGGACTGTAGTAGAGGCTATAGTAGAGGATGTTGTGGTCTCAGAGACTGCGGTGGAGGCCACGATAGTTTCAGAGCCTGCAGTGGAGGCTGTGGTTGTGTCAGAGCCTGTGGTGAAGGTCCTAGTGGAGGCTATAGTAGTCCCTGAGTCTGTGGTGGAGGCCGTGTTGGTTTCAGCGCCTGTGGTAGAGTCTGTGGTGATCTTAGAGCCTGCAGTTAAGGCCATAGTAGAGGCCATGGTGGAGGCCATGGTGGTCTCAGAGCCTGTGATGGAGGCTGTGGTGGTGTCAGAGCCTTTTGTGAAGTCTGTGGTATTCTCAGAGCCTGAGGTGGAGGACAAATAAGGTGGGGAATGGATTAAGGATGAATTTGCAGGTTTAGTATAGCATTACTTTAACATATACTCAGTACTGCTTGCTCATTTATTTATTCAGATATTGAGGGCTTAATATGTACCTGGAATTTTACTAAACTCTGGGCATACTCCTGTTAGCAAAAGACATATGGGCTTATAATTTAGTAAAGAAGAGAGACACAAAATAAAAAAATATAAATACACATTGGCTCAGGTGCTGTTAAAGAAAGCAGTGGTGCTGCTTTAGATACTAGAGTCAGAAAAGGTCTCTCTGAGGAACTGACATATGAACTGAGATCTGAAGGATAAGAAGGCAGCCATTTGGGCCAGGTGCGGTGGCTCGTGCCTGTAATCCCAGCATTTTGGGAGGCCGAGGTGGGCGGATCACCTGAGGTCGGGAATTCGATACCAGCCTCACCAACGTGGAAAAACCCCATCTCTACTAAAAATACAAAATTAGCCGGGCATGGTGGCGCATGCCTGTAATCCCAGCTACTCGGGAGGCTGAGGCAGGATAATCACTTGAACCCGGGAGGCGGAGGTTGCAGTGAGCCAAGATTGTGCCATTGCACTCCAGCCTGGGCAATAAGACCAAAACTCCGTATCAAAAACAAACAAACAAACAAAAAAAAGTCAGTCTCCGGGAGGTAAAGTCTTCCAGTTTTTGCTTGTCTAGAAAAGCCTTCATTTCATCTTCATATTGAAAATATTTTTACTCCGTGTAATTCTAGGTTGATAGAATATTTTTTGTTTCAGTATTTTAATGATGTTGCTTCTTGAGCTTCTGGTTGTCACAGTTTCTCACAGGAAGTCAGTTATCATGCTTGTCTTTGCTCCTCTCTACATAATGTGTCTTTTCTTTTCTAGCTGGTTTAGGATTTCCCATTTATCACTGATTTTTAGTTATTTGATTACATTGTACTTTGGTATGATTTTTTAAAGTTTATTTTGCTTGATATTTGTTGAGGTCTTGGGATCTGTGAGTTTATAGTTTTCATCAAATTTAATTTTTTTCAGCTACCATTTCTTTAAACATTTTTTCGGTTCCTTTTCTGGAACTTCAATTACACTTATTGTGGACAAAATATTGTCTCAGAAAATCACTGGTATTCTATTCATTTATTTTCAGCCCATACTCCCTCCACCCCATACTCCCTCTCACCCTCACAAGATTCTGACAACACATGGCAGGCTGCCACTCTGTGGAGAAGTCCACTTCACCCAATTTAGTTTGTTTCCTTTCTTTCTTTCTTTTTTCTTTTTTTTTTTTTTGAGATGAAGTCTTGCTCAGTCACCCAGGCTGGAGTGCAGTGGTGCGATCTCAGCTCACTGCAACTTCCACCTCCTGGGCTCAAGGGATTCTCCTGCCTCAGCCTCCTGAGTAGCTGGAAATACAGGCGTGCACCACCATGCCCAGCTAATTTTTGTATTTTTAGTAAAAACAGAGTTTCACCATGTTGGCCAGGCTGGCCTCTAACTCCTGATCTCAAGTGATCTGCCCACCTCAGCCTCCCAAAGTGCTGGGATTACAGGTGTGAGCCACTGCACCCGGCCCCAGTTTAGTTTCTTATATCCTTCTCTGGGCCACTGCTGTCTCCCCTCCTGTCCAACCCTGATATCTGCTTTCCTCTGCCTCACCTGATGATCTGGGGCTTAATTATTCAGAAAGGGAAGAGAAAGTAGAAAACAAAACTGATTTATGTTTTTAAAAAATCACACTCAGCATGCTGTGTGAAAACTGGCATGTAGGGGGGCAAGAGTGATAACAGAAAATTGGTTAAGAGTAGTAATTATTGCTTGGACTAGGATGGTAGCAGGGGAGATACATTTCAGTGGATGAATACAAGCTATGTTTTGAAATTAGAAAAGTAGAACCAATAGGAAGCATTGAAAGGCTGCCGGTGGTGGATGACAGGAAAGGAAGTCAAGAACAACTTCTGGCTTTGGGGCTGACACAGAGAGTTGGAAATTTGTTTTATTCATCTGAACGAATAGGGATGAAGTGGAGGTTGGAAATATTAGAGATTTTAAACTTTTTGTGCCCATTAGATATCCAGGAGACTGTTTGTTGACAGTTAGAAACCTGCACTTAGTTCTCAGAGGAGAAACCAAAACAAAAGATATAAAACTGGAAGTCATTTAAATATACATGGTGTTTAAAGCCTTGAGGCTGACTGAGATCATTTGTCTGGGAGGGTATAGTTGGAGAAGAGGGCGCTAGACCAAGCTCTGGCTGCTGCGTCATTCAGATAGAGGAGGAGAAGCGAATGAATGAGACTGAGAAGGAGCATCCAGTAAGATAGAAGGAAAACTCTAAAAAGTGAATCAGGGAAGTCAAGAGAATAGAGAGGCTCTAGAAAAATATGGTAGTTAGCTGAATTGATTTTTGCAGAGAGATCAAGTAAGATATGGCCTGGGCCACGTCCACTGGATTCAGAGACAATATGGAAGTGAGTGTTTAGTTTATTAAAAACAGATTTTCATGATGGGATAGCCCCCAGTTGGAATGAATAAAAGTATAAATAAGTATATATGGAGGCTTATGGATTTCACAGAAGAATAAAAAGTAGAGAAATAACAAAGACATACCTCCACAAGGACAAAGGATGGAGAGATGACAACAGCAGAGGAGATAAATTTTTTTTTTAAAGATAATAGCAGAAGGATGAGTGGTAACTCTCCAAAGAGAAAGCTTCAACATACAGGCCTCCACTGGGGGTGAGAGTAAGTCAACTCCTGGTAAATTATTAATTCTATGGAATCCTGGAAAGATTCAGGAGTTGCAGCCAGGTTCCTCTGAAGCTTTGAGTGTGGCATGTGACTAAATACAGGAAAGATGGTTGAAATACAGTGTAGCTAGGGACTGTCTCTCAGCTCCAGATCCCTCCTTCCACTCAAGGAGTTGGATGACTACACCTCTTTCCCTTACAACAGCTTAGGATTTTATCTCTGGAGATATTGAAACCAAAGAAATTCTAGACCAGTGATCTCAGGCACTGCTGAGGGCAGAAGTGAGAGGTTTTACTGAAACTATGCAATTAAGGAAATGCTCACACCCTGAACTGTAAAACCCTCATTACCTCTTCCCTTACTCAGCTTCCAGCACTTCAGCAGCTATGCTAGTATGCTCTAGACAGGATCTGGAGAATTCTTCTTGTGGAAAGAAATTAGACAACACTAGATACTGATATTTCAAGGATCTTCCCAATCAAAACTGCCATGTCTCTGCTAAGTTACCCTAAAGCTAAGTTCACCAGCTGACAGGCCCTACCCCTGCATGCAAAGCTTCCAGGCATCATATTGTCGCCTCACTTTCAAATGCAAAGGACATTCTGGGATTACCAGATATTTGAGGAAAATCTCTAGTTTGAAATATAGAGACCAAAACAAATATCCCTATGCAGTAAAGTCAGAGAGAACTGAGACAGTGCAAATAGCAAAACCAACTTCAAATGTCCTCAGCAATGTAAGAGAAAGTATAGCACCACAAGGTCAGTAATCTAAATGATATTCAGCTACCAACCACATTTTTCTAGAGCCTCTCTATTCTCTTGACTTCCTTGATTCACTTTTTAGAGTTTTCTTTCTACCTTACTGGATGCTCCTTCGTGGGAAGGAGTGAAAACAAACAAACAAACAACAACAACAACAAACAAATAAAAGATGCCATTTTAAAAATGATTGTAGACAAAAAAAGATCTCTTTGAAATTTTTAAAAAACCCTCAAAATTCGCTAGAAGGATTTAAAGACTTTAGAAGCTGAGGAAATCTCCCCAAAAGAAAAATAAAATGACAGAATTGGAAGACAGAAGAAGAAATATAAGAAAATTAGAGTGTCAGTCCAGGAGGTCAAACATCCAAATCATAAGATTTTTCAGAAAGACAGAACAGAGAAAATGGATGAGAGGCAATTATCAAAGAAAAAAAAAGCAAGAAAATTTTCCAGAACTGACTGACATAGCTTTATACTGTACAAGTTCCTAACACAATGAAAGAAGAATCCATACTATGGCACCGTATCATGAGATTTTAGAACAGTAATTTAAAAAATCTGAAATCATGCAGAAGAAAAAAACATGGGTCTCTTGCAAGAGGTCAGTAAACTAAATGATATCAGTCTTCACAATCTAGAATCTAGAAACAGTGGATCAATCCCTTCAAAATCCTGAGGAAAAATCGTATCCATCCTAGAATTCTATAACCAGGTAAACTATGAGTCAAATGTGAGGGTGGAATAAGACATTTTCAGACATATAAGGTCTATGGACAGCTAGGCCCATTTTTCTCTTCTTCCTGGGCACATGGCTAAGTTACATTTCTCAACCTCTCTTGTAGCTAGGTAGGGCTACATGTCTAAGCCCTAGTCAGAGGCCCCTAAAGGGAAGGAATACATATTAATTTCCATTTCATTTCTTTAAGAGTAAATACCTATTCCTTGATTTCTGCTTGTATATATATTTTTATTTTCTGTATGTTATCATGTTTTCACATCTTAACAAACTTTTCTAGCTAGGGAGAGATAGCACCTTCCAGGCTAGCCAATTCTTAGAAGCAGCAAAGGGCCCAGCCAGGAGTGTGAGCTGATATGCAAACTAACCATTCCAGAGCCATAGCTCCTCTATCTGGCCCATATACTCCAGGAAACAATATTTATCTGCCTTAGTCATTCCAAAGCCAAGTACCAGGCAACTAGGTAGTAATCAGCTATATAGCTCAAAGAAAACAGGAATTATTCAAACCAGCCAATCCTGAACTATTCGTCCTGCCTTTCCTTGCCTTTCCCACAGAAACCCCAATAAAAGGAAAGACCTAAATAAACCTTTCCTTCACTCCTGTCTTCTGTCTCCTGACTACCTTGGTGTCTTTCTCAGGAGGTCCAGCATGGCAGTGCCATGCCTCCTGTCTCTAAGGCCTGTGAGCCTCTCCTCTTGTGGCTGCACCTTGACTGTATCGTAAAATAATACAAAATACTGTTCTTCTGCCCTCTCCTTGGGCTGAAATGATGATGACACTGGAAACCATATGTTGAAGATGGAACAGTCATATTCACCCAGGATCCCCAAATGACTGCATGGAGCAGAGCTCCCACCATCCTATAATACTTATCTTAGGACTGGTACAAGGGAGAAAAATAAACTTGTTTATTTTTCAAAGTCACTTTCGGGATCTCCTTGTTACAGCAGCTTAGCATTACCCTAACATTGCATAAAGTTTTAAAATAATTTTCCACCATAAACTCTCTCTCAAGAAGCTTCTAGAGAAAGTGCTGCCCTAAGATGGAAAAATAAATCCAGAAAAAAGATAGGAATTTACAAGGGAAAAAAGAGAATTTCCAGAACGTTGCGAATACAAATTGCAGGACAAGAGACCTAGCAAGCAACCAGTACTGGTTGGACAGAGGCTTCCAAATGGGATTGCTCAAGGGAAAAAAGTGAAACTGATAGATTGCCTCATGTGTATTGAAAAGACAGGGATAATTCTGGTAGAGGTTTGGGGATGAATTAATGGTATATATGAAGAAAACTATGGAAATTTTTAAAATGAGGCTATTGTTAATATCTAGAAAAACAAAAATTACAAGAACGGATGGTCATCACAATGCAATTATATGATCCAGTTATAAATGTTACTAGAGGTAGCATTTATAGTTATTATAATGTCATCACAATGCAATTATATGACCCAGTTATAAATGTTACCAGAGGTGACATTTATAGTTATCATAATGTAAACACTAAATGCAAATTTAACACCAAAAATTTGGTACAATCATTTGGGGAGAATTGTGAGCAGGAACGTGAGACATAAGTGTAGAGGGAGTAGACTAACCTAAATCTTCCTTTTCATTAGAAGGAAGACAATAAATCATTCCTGAAGCAGAGGGGGGAAAAAAAACCCTCAACCAACAAAGAAGTAATGGTAGTAAGAGAATTTATGACTGGGTGCAATGGCTCAGGCCTGCAATCCCAGTGCTTTGGAAAGCTGAGGTGAGAGGATTCCTTGAGCCCAGGAGTACCAGGCTGCAGTGAGCTATGATGGTGTCACTGCACTCCAGCCTGGGTGACAGAGCGAGACCCTGTCTCTAAATAAATAGATAAATGCAGTATGAAGGTAAATGCCAACAGGAACCCTGGGAAGCAGGACTCAGAGTAAGAAGCAGTTGGGGAAAGGGAGTCAGAGGCTGAAGTTTTATGAGAAGCCTTGTAGGACTACAAGTTTTTCTTTTTCAGAACTACTTACATGCACTACCTAATATAATAAAATAAAATCAACAAGTGAATGGGAAGTGAGAAGTGACATAGCAAATGTGGGGAAGGCCTTCAAGAATGGGGGTGAGGGGCTGGGCATGCTGGCTCACACCTGTAATCCCAGCACTTTGGAAGGATGAGGCAGGTAGACTGCCTGAGCTCAGGAGTTCAAGACCAGCCTGGGCAACACAGTGAAACCCCATCTCTACTAAAGTACAAAAAATTAGCTGGGCGTGGTGGTGTGCACCTATAGTCCCAGCTACTCGGGAGGCTGAGGCAGGAGAATCACTTGAACCCGGGAGGAGGAGGTTGCAGTGAGCCAAGATTGCACCACTGCACTCTAGCCTGGGTGACAGAGCAGAACTCCATCTCAAAAAAAAAAAAAAAAAAAAAAAAAAAAAAAGAATGGTGGTGAGGAAGGAGCGGAGGAGGCGGTGGCTGAGGAAAAAAAAAAAAAAAAAAAAAAAAAAAAAAAGAATGGTGGTGAGGAAGGAGAGCGGAGGGAGAGGCGGTGGCTGAGGAGTGATGCAGGGATGTTAGGATGGGCATCATTCAAACAGTGTTTGATCCAGGGACCTCTGGGGTCACACTGTCTGAGGAACCCATGCCATCCCACCAAGCCTACTGAATCAAGACCTTGCTTGGTGGGGTGTCAGGACCTGGAAACCCAAGTTTTTAATCATCTCCTTAGATGATACTTGTGCATACAGAACTGAGCTTGTTTGGATGCTGATGAAAAGGATTCAAGAAAGGTAAAGTGAGATGGGAGGAAAAGGAGAAATGCACTGAGCAAAGCCCCTGAGACGGCAGGAGGATGAGAAGGCACCCAGCGTTCAAATGAAGGAGTTGGTCCTTGCTAATCCAATGTAATGGGGCTACAGGAGAGACAGTGGGTCACTTTATAGACCTAGTGGTGGGAAAAGAGGAGGTGCCTGTCAGCACTTGCATGCTTGTTCCCTTTTGTAAGGGAATATTACTTAAGTCTATGTTTTACAGTAGACCAAGAGTTCCACGGAGGCCAAGACCATGGCATTTCCCACTCCATTCCACACCGTGGCCTAGCACGCAGCAGTGCCTGGCCCAGAGGAGGAGCTCTATACATGTTTGTTGAATGACTACGTGAATGACAGTTTCTTCTGAGGTAAGGGGACTCTTGCTTAAAATCAGACAGATAGGACTGGAGTTCGGGATTAGGACAGGCAACGGGTGGATCTGGAAGACATGGGTAGATAAAGAACAGCTGAAGCATTCAGGATGAAGGCAACAGGAAAGGGAAGAAAAAGAAGTGCTGAAGCGGCTGAGGGAGCGAATCCAGAGTAGGGTGCAGGAAACAGATGCATACTGAGGAAGAAGGGGGAAGCACCCCAAATCCTCCACATCATCCAACCTAGACCTTCTCTTTCAACCACACCTCCCATTTCTTGAAGTGCTATCCTACAGTAAAGGCAATGGAATGGATAAGCTGATTAACCTGGTATCTTATAATTGGGGAAGATACGTTGATGTAAGAAATCAAAGACAGGAGTGAACGGAACTTTCTCAGACAGTCCGTTGGAATCACACGGAGCCCAGTTCACTTCTCCCCTGGGTTATTTCCTTTCACAGTCACCTCTGATCCAATGCCAGAGCCATCCCCTCAGTGGCTGACCTCCAATTTGTTCCTACCAAGGAAATTCTCAGGGGATTAGACATGGATTTGGACTCAGGCAGCATCCAAAGGATTGAAGCAAAAAAAAAAAAAAAAAGAAAAAAAAGTAGATGTTGGCATAGATGCGGTGATCAGGGAACACTTCTACACTGCTGGTGGGAATGTAAACTAGTACAGTCACTATGGAAAACAGTGTGGAGATTTCTTAAAGAACTAAAAGTAGAGCTACCATTTGATCCAGCAATCCCACTACTGGGTATCTACCCAGAGGAAAAGAAGTCATTATACGAAAAAGATACTTGCACACACATGTTTATAGCAGCACAATTCACAATTGCAAAGTCATGGAACCCAAATGCCCATCAATCAACAGGTGGATAAAGAAACTGGCATATATATATGAAGGAATACTACTCAGCCATAAAAAGGAATGAATTAACGGCATTTGCAGCGACCTGGATGACATTGGAGACTATTATTCTAAGTGAAGTAACTCAGGAAAGGAAAACCAAACATCGTATGTTCTCACTGATATGTGGGAGCTAAGCTATGAGGACTCAAAGGCATAAGAATGATACAATGGACTTTGGGCACTAGGGAGGAAGGACGGGGGAGGGACGAGAGATGAAACACTACCAATAGGGTGGGTGCAATGTATACTGCTCAGTGATAGGTGAACCAAAATCTCACAAATCACTACTAAAGAACTTACTCATGTAAGCAAATATCACCTGTACCCCGATAACCTATGGAAAACAAACAAAGAAGGATTAAAGGATTTTTACTTGACTTTAGACTGAGATCCTGGTTTTAATTTGGAATTAAGAATGCTATTGGAACTAGAATTTTCCAGTTAAAAACAAAACTTTTATCCAAGATACAAAGGAAAGTAAAAGTGTCACCCCCACCTCATTTCCCCAGCACCGCCCCTCACCGCCCCACAACTTGTGCTCACAGTCACAACTCGGGGAGACTAATACAGATTTGCTTCTAAGATAGCATCAGAGTCATGGTCAATGGAATTGGGATCAGTATTGGCTTTTGCAGAAATGGGCAAAAAAAAAAAAAAAAAATCATCATCATTTCTGGAAGAAGAGTCATGCCTAGACAGGGGATCCCCCATCTCCTTCAGACTTTATGTGACCTCCATACCCCTCTCCTTCCTTAACTGCTAAGTAACTTACTGGGTCCCAGAAGTCCAAAGAGAAGGAGCCACAGGAACCAGAAGGCAGGAGAAATGTTTCCTCTTCTCATCTCTAAATGATGCACATAGAAGTTGTCATTTAGATGCCTGGGTTCCAAAGGAAGAATAGGTCAAAGAGGCGGAGAGACAAGGGGCAAACCCCCTGGGCCTTGATAGAAAATAAAGTTGCACGAAAAGACCCAAAGGCCAGCCACTGCCAGGGTAAACCTTGTAGGCAGGTGGGATGGTTGCAGGGAGCCCCCAAATTGCTCCACAGTTTGGCTTCCTGTTTTTCTTCTTTTTTCCTCGCAAGCGTATCTGTGGCATTTATAGCTGATACTGAGTAGGAGAGACCAGAGCTTTGGGTCCTCCCTCCCCAGGGAGGGGCATCTCCGCACTGTGCTTTCTACAGGGCCATTTGGAGAAATGTACCCTACAGGAATCAAGGCAGAGGAGAGAGCCGAGTCGGTAAGACCAGAGGGTGCACACATGAGGAGGGGCAGGGAGAGAGGCAGAATGAGGGGATCAAACTTGTCGGAGTGGAAGGGACCCACCCTTTGAACCAGAGCTGACCTGAAACCTGTTTTCCCTAGGTATGCCTCATTTTCAAAGCAGGAGGCCTTTGTAGAAGAAAGGAGGAGGAAAAGAAAAGGAAACAAATGGATGGTAAAGGTCAATAGCAGTCCATCTGGGGGATGCTGGGGATTTGGAGGGTGAGAAGAGCATCAGGACACACGCCCAGTTTTCTCCTTCCCAGCTGCAGAGCAGCACGTGGCTGTGTGAGTGACACACTGCATTCCCCATGAGCTCTCCAAGGGTGGGGAAACCCGACATTGAGTGAGTCTCACTTCTAGTATCAAGCGGAAGTGAGTAGGGAAGAGGATGGGGCACGGAACTGCCCATTTCCCTGAGTCGATCTTTGGCAATGGCTCTTAAGCATAGGGCAGGGACCCTAACTCACCTGGGTCCCTATTTCTAGGCTCACAACTAGCAGTTGATTGAAAGTGACCCCGTGTGACTCAGATATGCAAGGAAAAATGTAGTTTGACTTGCTATAACTCACCCAATTCAGTTTTCGAACTCTTTCCCACCAATGGCAGGGAAGGCTGAGGTTGGAAATGAGGATATGGGTTTAAGCTTGCCAAATATTGGTGATTAAATTTCATTTTCTTTTAAAAGTGTCTCTTTCGGAGGACATACTGTATGGTTCTGATTATATGAAAGTCAAGTACAGGGAAAAATCAACTGATGATGATTGAAGCCAAAATACTGGCTACCTCTGGGGTGGCACTGATGGGGAGGAGGCGGGGGAGGCTTCTGGGGTGAAGACTTGACACATCTTGATCTGGAAAGTGGGTAGGTGAGTGTATGCATGTATTAAGATTCAACAATTGGCCAGGCACGGTGGCTCATGCTTGTAATCCCAACACCTTGAGAGGCCGAAGTCGGAGGATTGTGTGAGCCCAGGAGTTCAAGACCAGCCTGGACAACATAACAAGACCCTGTCTCTATTTATTTAAAATAAATATGTTAAATAATTAAATAAAATTCAACGACTTGAGCACTTATGTGTCCACTCTACACATTTTACCGCATATATTTTAAGCCTCAATTTAAAGATTAAAAACAACAGTCAAGAGTACAAACTTTCAGTTATAAGATGAATGAGTTCCGGGACTTTAATCACATGGAGACTATAATTAACAATATTGTATTGTCTATCTGAAATTTGCTAACACACAGAAAAAAATGGTAAATATGTGTTGATGATGTGTTCATTAGTTCAACAGTGGTAATTATTTCGCAATGTATACTCATCAAATCAACACATTGTACACCCTGAAAACACAATTTTTATTTGTCAATTAGACCTCAATAAGCTTGGGGGGAGAATTAAAAACAATAAAAAAGAAAAAAAATTTGGTGGCTTATGCCTATAATCCCAGAGCTTTGGGAAGCCAAGGCGGGAAGGTTTAGAGTTCGAGACCAGCCTGGCCAACATGGTGAAACCCCATCTCTACTAAAAATACAAAAAAAAAAAAAAAAATTAGCTGGGCGTAGTGGCGGGCGCCTGTAATCCCAGCTACTTGGGAGGCTGAGGCAGGAGAATTGCTTGAACGTGGGAGGCAGAGGTTGCAGTGAGTCAAGATCATGCCACTGCTCTCCAGCCTGGATGACAGAGCGAGACTCTGTCTCAAAAAAAAAAAAAAAAAAGAAAAGAAAACGAAAACAATGTTTCAGGTCTCTTGGGTAAACACTTGGCCATACGAAATTTAATGTCCCTTTCGGGACTGTTTTTCCCATTTCAAGGGCTCTCCTCTCCACCTCTTCTTTCCCGCACGTCCTCTGAGGGGGAATTTGTGCCTCCTACTAGCAGTGTGGGAACAGGACTTGGGCCCTCCAAGCTGGTATCTCCTGAGCTTCCTCTCATCCCATCTGGTCACCGGGATCCTGCACTGGCGTCCAACGACTCGGAGACACAGTAGTACCATTGTCTTCATTTTATAAATAAGGAAACTAAATCATGGAGAAGTCAAGTAATTTGGCCAAACTCACAAAGTTAATAAGTGATGGAGTCAGGAATTAAACTATCAGTCCAGCTGCAGAGCCTGTGCTCTTCGCCATAATAAAAGGAGGGTGTCATGTCCAAACAGGACTTTGAGTCTGGTCCCTGAATATCTTCCTCCAACCAGACTGCCTGTTCCCAACCTCGTCTGACATAGAAATTCTGGAGCTGTCACTGTTAGAAAATATGCAGAATGTAAAACCACAAAGCTACAGAGGCCCAGCTACCTGGAATTTGAAAAACAGATGGACAAGTCATCATAAGGGACATGTCGGGAAAATTAATGAGTTAGGAGCAGGTTGCTCGAGTGGAGCTGACTCGTCCAAGATCATTTTTTAAACGCCTCCTTGAAGAGGCTGAGTCATGAGGGTTCTGATGACTACGAAGGAAAGAGCACACAGGGGTTGAGGGCTTAGAACTTGGGTTTGTTTCAGAGAGTAAGAGATTAGTTTCGCACAGTGTAGGGAATTCCAGGCACCCGGCAATTAGGTAGAGTACACAATTTATAAACATGGCATAGATTTGAAATTCACCCTTGAATGACCTGTGCTGAAAGTTTGATTTAGGAAATGCCTGTGTTCCAGATTCTCGCTGCCGTCTCTCTCAACCTCACCCTGTCCCAGCTTAGATTTTCTTCAGCCTGGCTGGACAACATGTCTGCTTTCCCTTCTAATTTTAGTTTATCCCCAATTCAAGTAGAGTTCTTTTCATCACAAGGAGTCTCAATGGTACCTTCCATATAGCATATGGTTTATCAGAAAGTAACAAAAAGAAGCAAGATTTTCTGTGAAATACAGCCTGATATGGTCTATGTCTGTGACCCATTTTCCCACAAATGGACCACTCTGATGGTGGCCACCATCCCTGGATTTGGAGATCTCTCCTACAGCTGCTTAGGCTTCTTCAGCTATCTGGAGCCACCATTTGTGTAGAAATGTCCTATGTGCTTGAGTGCCTATCTTCAAATTTTTTGTCGTGTATACACTCAAAAACAATTTTGAAAAGCTGTTTTCCTTCCTCTGTTTACGTTTAATCTAAATTTTTATCATACATTTAATTATTGCACAGAATGTAATTTCTATCATGTTGTAAATATAGATATTGAAATAATAAGTTTTTACTACTCTTTAAAATGTTTCCAATAGACTCTAAACACTAGCAGCATCTCAATACTCATCATTATCCTTTTTAAATTTTATTTTACTTTAAAAGATGGGGGTCTCACTATATTGCTCAGGCTGGTCTTGAACTCTTGGGCTCAAGCGATCCTCCCACCTTAGCCTCCCAAAGTGCTGGGATTACAAACGTGAGCCACTGCACCTAGCCTCTATTATCCTTTTGAATAACATATAAGCAAGCTCCTCCTCAATAGTCTAGGTTTTTAAATGGTTCCTCCTGCTCTATGAACTTATAGTTCCATTTTACTTGCCCCATATTATTCTACTGGTCTCTCTCCATATATAATATTAAATACCAGTAATATAAATATTCTACTGCTATATATGTATATATATAATAGTATATCTAATTAATAAACTTTATCTCTTAGAGCAGTTTTAGGTTCACAGCAAAATTAAGTGGAAAGTACAGAGGTCCCATAGACTCCCTGCTCCTACGCAAGCACAACCTCCCCGCCTCGTTGACATCAGGGTTTACTCTTGTATATTCTATGGGTTTTGACAAATGTACAATGACATGCATTCACCATTGTAGTATCATATACAGTAGTTTCACACCCTAAGAATCCTCTATGCTCCACCTATTCATCACCCAACCCTCGTAACCCCTGGCAACTATTGACTCTTGACTGTCTTTTTAGTTTTGTCTTTTCCGGGATATCATATGATCTGTAATATTTCTTTGCTTGAAAGGCTTTTATTGATCACCCTATCATACTCCTCTGCATCAAAAGATATGTTTATACACTTCTTAAAAATTTCCTGTGCCTTGTAAGACTCTGTGTTCAATTTATAGCCCCCCAATAACGTTTTGGTGAATTAAACAAAAATGCTTCTCTTATGGTATGTTTTTCCATATTTTCAAGAAAATATGAATCATTAACTTGCCTAACTTTTTTCTTTTTTCTTTTTTTTTTTTTTTTTTTTGAGATGGAGTCTCTCTCTGTCGACCAAGCTGGAGTGAAATGATGCAATCTTGGCTCACTGCAACCTCCACTTTCCAGGTTCAAGCTATTCTCTTGCCTCAGCTTCCCATGTAGCTGGGACTACAGGTACCTGCCACCACATCAGCTAGTTTTTGTATTTTTAGTAGAGATGAGGTTTCACCATGTTGGTCAGGCTGTTCTCAAATGCCTGACCTCAGGTGATCCACCTGCTTCGGCCTCCCAAAGTGCTGGAATTACAGGCATGAGCCACCTCGCCTGGCCAACTTACCTAACATTTAAAAAATAACACAACTTTCAGAGCGCTTACGAAATGCAGGACTATTCTAAACCTCCACAATAACCCAGTGAAGTGGGTACTATTTTCACTGTCATGTTTACAAATATGGAAACCGAGACCCAGAAGAGTTAAGGAATTTGTGCAAAGTCACAATGAAATTGGATTTGAAACCAGAAATTCAAGCTCCACAATCTGTGCTCTTAGCTGACATGCCGTATGGCCTCTCTATGTGTCTTTTATCTTAAGATGTAACATTAATCAGTTGGAACTTACAACATCTTTCTTCTTGAAATCATGCAAAATACACAATTGTTACCTAAACCAAGAAACCAGTGAACAGGAAGCTCTTTCCCCTTACAGAAAATGGTGTACAATTCAGGGAAGTATGCTTCATAGCACATTGCTGTGTCTCAGCAAGTTGTTGACAAATCTTGAATGTTCTAAGGTAGGCAGACAGACAGATAAGGTGAGTTGGCTGCCATGGGATTTTTCTCCTTGGTTAAATAAGCCACTGCCTCCTGTATTCTTTCTGCTGATTCTGCTCTTGCTCCAATCTCATGAGATACTCCCTCAAGAGCGATGCCTTTTTAAAGAGTGGATGGAAGAGAAGAGACTGTTTAAAAAAAAAAAAAGAAAGAAAAGAAAAAAATAAGTTTTTATTACTCCTGTTACTTCATTCTACAGTGTATCTGTGTAAATAACATCTTAACACATGCCAAAATTACCAGTTCCTTACACTCCACTAGCCCTTCATAGGAATTTATATGAGGCAGGAGAAAACAAGAAGTCCTACTCTGGGTATATGATCCCTAAATTAGAGGTGGTTTTTTAGGTATCCCTTTATTAAAGGGATTCTTTGTCAAGTAAAGGCTTTATTTGACACCCTGACATGTTCTACACCCTGCAGAAATGTGGTAATAATAATATGGGAGCTACAGAGGAAATGTTGGATGATCATCAAAGAGGAGTCAGAAAAGTGTAGCCCTGACCACAGAGGTGCTCTCAAGACAGATCAATTCTAGGCAACAAGCGTATACGGAAGTTGAAGGTCTGGAAAATGGTTTCCATCAAACAACCAACACCTGCATAATACTCTTCAGGAAGTCTTTATGTACGTCCAAGACGTGAGGGCACAGATGCGATGTGAAGATCATTGTGCTAAATCCACAGTGCAAAGGCACAGGTCTAGATGGGCAGCCCTTTAACCCTGCCCACTTCCTGGACTTTTGCTTGGGTCATACGTGCTTGGTGGGCTGGGGCTTT